GCAGCCACACCGCGCTACTGGTTATTTGTAAAGCTTCTCGCCCAGTCCTCACGAGCGATGCTGTAGGCTGGGCGTTGGTTTCTGAAAAGGGTTAGTTACTGAGTTCCCCCCTCCCCCACCCAGTGCAGGGATGGTGGCGAATGGTAGGTAGGGCTGGATATGAGAAGAACTAGGGGTCATTCCCTTCTGCAAGTCTCACACCTGCCGTGGCCACGAACGACTGGACGTCTCCAAGAACTGGCCCAGGCACCGCGCTTGCCGCCATTTCTCCCCCTCCCCCATGTCCTTGTCGTGGGCTTCTTCCCGGGGACCGTGTCAAATTAGGCGCGATCCACAGCAGCTGTCGGACCAGCCTTTCTCGGGTCTGTGCCTCGACTTCCTCATCTGTCCAGTGGGAGCCAGCGACAGCTCAGGCTTCGGGCGGCCTCGTGCAATCCGCGAGCGCCTTGGCAAAGTCCCTTCTCTCACTTCCCAGCTGGGACCGGGGCCTGACCTCAGAGGGCGGGCGGGGGCGTAGGAAACCGGTTTGACCGTCCGGAACGTCACGAGCAAGGGGTCTGTCGCCCAAAGAACCTCAAGCAGTGACCCCAAATACCCGTCTCCGTCCCTTCCCGCTCTGTAACTCGGAAAGTGATCGGTCATACGCTCGGAAACATGCTCATCCCGCCGAGGCCCGATCCTCCCCAGGCCTAGTCCTCACCGCACAGGTAAGAAAAATGAGCTCAGAGAGTTCTCCCCCTCCCCCATGTCCTTGTCGTGGGCTTCTTCCCGGGGACCGTGTCAAATTAGGCGCGATCCACAGCAGCTGTCGGACCAGCCTTTCTCGGGTCTGTGCCTCGACTTCCTCATCTGTCCAGTGGGAGCCAGCGACAGCTCAGGCTTCGGGCGGCCTCGTGTAATCCGCGAGCGCCTTGGCAAAGTCCCTTCTCTCACTTCCCAGCTGGGACCGGGGCCTGACCTCAGAGGGCGGGCGGGGGCGTAGGAAACCGGTTTGACCGTCCGGAACGTCACGAGCAAGGGGTCTGTCGCCCAAAGAACCTCAAGCAGTGACCCCAAATACCCGTCTCCGTCCCTTCCCGCTCTGTAACTCGGAAAGTGATCGGTCATACGCTCGGAAACATGCTCATCCCGCCGAGGCCCGATCCTCCCCAGGCCTAGTCCTCACCGCACAGGTAAGAAAAACGAGCTCAGAGAGGGCCAGCATTTCGCCCGAGGCCACACAGCGAACGGATGGGGCTGGAGGGTTTGCGGGAGCGGTGTTGTGGAACCCGGGCGAACTTTGGCGCCCGTTTGTCTGCCCGCTTCTGATACCCGGGTTCGAGAGAATAGGCCGCTAACGAGCGGCCCATTAGGAGGAATTGTCACTCCTCTGGGAGCGAGGTTGTCCCATTAGGGCGAATCGTCATTCCTCCTGGAGCGAGGTTGTCCCGGCTCCGCGCAGGCTGAGTGCCGGGGCCGAGAGCAATTAACGCGGCTCCGGCGCGGGCA